CTGTTTTGTCACATTTGGTTTATTGTTGTTTAAGCTTGTCTATTATTATGTAAAACACACCAAGTTAATGAAAATGATTGTGACTTGGTAACAATTTAGCATTGATACGTATTCCTGTCGCGCTTAGTACCTCGCGTCCCTATTACAAAGAGAATGTTAGAAATTATAAAAACAAAAACAATATTATTTATTGCAAGCCGCGTCGCATCTTGTGTTGCAAAGAGACGTATATTAAAGAATCGTAAAAATAAATTCACGACTTTTTTGCATTGCGTTTTCGCTAACAGAGCTAATTCTTTCTAAAATTTGAAGTTACCTTGCGTGATTACTTGCTGCAAAAATGTCTTCGTACGAAAACCAAATCATTTACAACAACGACGATAATACTGTTTCGGTTCCTTTTGGCCGAGCAGCTGAATGGTATATTGCAAACCATCCCCTTCTAAAAAATACACGATTGAAATCTCAAAGCCGATTACATACAACCAAATTGATTCGTGAAGGATTTATTCAATTGTACCGTATTGATGGTGCAACAGATTATATCGAATGGGAAGCTTCAGGTGTAATAAAGTCTACAAATAGAATTGATGATATTCTGAAGCTTACAGAAAAAGGAAAAGCTCGAGTAGAAAATATTAATATGAAAGTCGAAAAGGATAAATTATGCTGGTACTGGGTAATGTTTTGTGCGAATGATGGAAATAGATGTCAACATTTGTGTGGGGGAATTGGCGAATGTATACCTAATTGTGTGAATTATGATTTACCGAATAACTTAAAAAATGGCAACGATATGCACCGATGCTCAGTCAGAGTTTGTTCATATACACGTCTATCTTACCTAAATACGAGCCATCCACTTCGCATAAAGATAGAAGGTGTGCATTTTCCATCTAGTGCAATGATGCCTGAAATTGGCAAAATGTCACGAATTAATTTAACAAGAGAAAAGAGAGACGAGATTATTGTTAGTCGCCGTGCAGATCATAGAACAACTAGGGGGATTAAAGGAAAACTACTTGCCTCTTTTAATAACGCTGATGAACATACTTTGAGAGAAGCGTTTTTGAGCAGTCGTGAAATTTGTGATAACAATACGCTCAAGCGTTTCCTTACCCGCGAAGATAGAAGACTGAAAGATAATACCGGCCCTTGGACAATCCTGCACTATTTGATAGTGGAAGTTCTAAAGCCAAAGGGATACGTGCTGTATTATCAACAACCTGACATCTCAGCACCTGAAGATACAACGGATCGTTATTATCAGCTGACAGTCTCTGATGAGTTTTGGTTAAGAAATGGTCGAGACTATGGACAGTTCTACATCGGAATTGATGGAAAATATGATCTGAACATTGACCGCGCACCAGTGCTGACCATAATTGTTGAAAACCAAGCAAAGCATGCCACACCGTTAGCATTTGGTAAGACAAAATGTTTGATTACCTTAATTATCGAATAATATTTTAAATGTTAACTTGTTATAAATTAATTCCAACAGGACTTAGCAATAAAGAAAATAATTGGTCAGCAGTAACTGCAATAAAAGAAAATATACCCTGTGCAGAGCCCCAATGCAACCATCCATGACACTACGAAGATTTGCCAAATGGAAAGGGTTTCAAAAGAATCAGAGACTGCCAGTCAGCTCGACAATGGTGTCCAATAGCTATGATTGACAAACATCGGCCAACGAAAATAGGCGTACATGGAATTATTCGTGGAACCATTCTTTGCTGGTTTCATATAATGCAGACATTATGTGACCATTTCAGGGAATGGAATATCCCGCATCAACTAAGGCAGGTATACAATTGGTTATGCCAAATTTTAACTCATAGTAATAATTGTTTTCTGAAAAATAGATATCTTATCACGCTTGGATTCAAGATAATTGGAAGATGCCGTACTGAAGAAGAGGCCTTGGAAATGTCTATACATTATAAAGAACTCATCAACTCGCTCCCTTTGACCCAAGAGCAAAAAAAACGACTAACCGATGATCTTGATAATAATTGGATGTGTGATGAATGGAGAATGCAGTTCATTGATGCCGGTCGGCTCCCAAGATATCTTCATGAACCAAATCCTATGACAACCAATAATTATACAGAGCGCATGAATAGAACGATCGAATCACAATTGTCAGGTAAACAGACAGTCGTGACATTTATTGAAAGGCTCTATGGAATGAAGTTGTTGCGCGAAAATTGTCATGAGGAAGGAACCGGTCGGATCACATATGAAGCTGGCTTGGTGACTCAATTCAACATGCAGTCTATAGAACAGGCAAGTAAAACGTTAAACGGAAAGAGTGCGGTTAGAAATTTGACTTAAACAATTATTTAACCATCGAATAATAATAATAATAATAACAGGAATGTGGTCATATTAGAATGAGCTCTGATATGAGTCGTCGTTTGAATCAAGGCCGACTTTATTTTCTTCTAAATTTCGTTGAAAATTCGAATCATTTAAATTATTATTATGTTAAAAAAAATCGAAACTTATCTTGTGAATATCAGATGTTAGACGAGGAGCTGCTTAAAATGGAAGAAGATTGTTTCCAATGTCTTCAGCCGATGATGGAGAGGCTTTTAGTGACTTTCGAAGTTGAGTCAAGGGAGGGATATTACTTGACCAACATTGCAACTGGCGAATGTCCCACTTGCTTGGATTATATTTGGAATGGACCATTCCGTGATGTCTGCAAACATTGTCACGCCGCCCGAATATTTTCGAAAGCGCAGCAGGAGGACCACGATAAGTTTTCTGAAGAGACGAAGTATCAATTAGTCACATATTTTAAAAACAAAGAACGGGTCTTACCGGCTGACCAGAAAAATAAAAATATATATTTCGGATCAGTAGAAGAGGCTTATAATAATATAGTAGAGCTTTACATGTCTCAAGGTAACCTTCTATGTCACAAAATTGAGTGTCCCGATTCATTACTGCTGGTTAACTTTTTTCTCCAGGGGATAGGATTTTTTATCCCTCAGTTTTGCAGTCTACCATGTGTATGGATCCTTTCCGTCCTTCAGAACTGAATCAGAGACGGATACCCAACACAGGAGCGCCTCCTAAGCTTCCTGCAAAGCCTCGTAAAGCAAATCGGATATTAGCAACTCAAAATGTTCAAAATACTATTAACGACTTACCGTCATCTGTACGGAAACGTCAAACGCAAAGTATCCGAAATTCGAAGCGAGGACTAACAGTAAGTACTGTAAATAATGGACAATAAATTAATATTCCTTAAACTAATATGCAAAACTTTTTCCTTTTAGCAAAAGGCCAACTCCTTTCGATCCCAAAAAAAGTTCCGCTCCGATGGTTCTCAAATTCCTAACGGAATTATAACAAAGCCTCCTGCATTGATCCAAATCCCATATCAATATTCCGCTGAAAAAATTGAAGAAGCTCGCAAGAAAGTATTAATGACTCTTGGCTATTCAGCTTCTCAATAATAATTCTGGTCGGCCTTTACCTTGTCACAATTCATAATCGATAATTTCGATGCTATTATCTAAATAAATTCATACGATTAAATAGAAAGAACTATGGCAGAGTTTATGTCTAACGCTCACAAGAGCTTTGGTATCTATTACATTCGTATATAATAATAATAATAATCATTACGTTAACATATAGTCATTATGTTCACATATGGTCATGACGTTCACATATAGTCATAGTATAGACGTCGGATATTTTCTGGGTATTGTCGAAAACGTGACTTTTGCCGCAGATGTATCAAAAAAGGAA